TGGACTGCCTGTGGATCATTTCTTGAGATTTCACAGATGTAGGTCATGACTGACGACATGCTGGTACTCCAAAGAATGATTCACTAATAGCACGCTCCGTTATTGAGGGATATGACAGCCGGGTCATGAGCAAGGGTGTATTCCTTATGTAAATTCATAGCGGTTTGGATTTAATTCCCTATCAATATTCTATTTATTACTTTTCTTACTGCTGTTAATGAAGCACCTATTGCCGGTACATATTACTATTGTTTTATTGCCCAGGCCTGTGAGATATGTGCTAATAAGTAAGCTTAGGGGGTGCTGATATATGTATTCTTTTCCTTTAGACAGAATCACCTAGCTTCTTGTTTATAAGTTAGGGAAAATACTGTTTGTCCACACTCTAACTCTGAAAACTGACTCTTTGGTCAAGAAAAAATCACCTGGCAAAACTAGGTCTGAAATAAATGCCTGTAATTATTATTTAAGATTACATAAAATAGCCATTACGGAAAAGAGGAATAAGGCAGAAGAAAGAGACAGAGGAAAGGAAGATCCTGGAAAGTAGTAAAGAGAGAGGTTAAATTAAAACAATGTGATCTGGTCAATAATCTGCAGCTCCACTCACCTTCTGGCCTGGTGGACCAAAAGGGCCCGTGACCCCTGGATCTCCACACTTCCCCTAAAAAAAACACACACACACACCGTATTTGTCTCAAAATATTGACTAAACACCCATTCCTGAGTCTACCTTTAATACAAATCTTAGGGCTCTATTCCAACCATCACAAAGAGCAGCACACAGGTCAGTGAGGGCATATCGGAGTGCAGCTGCTATTTGCATTCATATAGGCGCAGCACAGCATGCACAAAGAGGATGGCTGAAGTGGAATATAAATCACAGTATGAGGCGATTAATCATTATCCTCTCGGCCAGTCCCATTATTGGCCTCTTCCCCGTTAAACAGCTGCGCCAACCACACAAGGTATGACTGGTGCATCATGAAAAAGGCTGTAGATATGTAGACATGTAGACAGGAGACAGCTTATGAAAACTATTCTGCTGTGTCCATTCAGAGAGGGAAGCTGAGGGGCAGCATGCGAATTTGCAGCGGAACAAATGCTACGCAGCCAAAATCGGAATTTACATTGGTGGAATCTGTGCCATGTTTTCTGAACGTAATGCACATGTTTATTTTGCAACTAAATTATGCACACGATTGTTGGGATGTCAAGTTAGTGAATCTGTAGTAGGCTACAATGAAATTAGTACAATAAAAGGGAATAATGTGGTTTTATAGTGGTGGAAAGAGAACTCTTTGCTGAAGTAAAATTAGCAATACCACAGCGTAAAAATACTGCCTTTTTCTGTACGTTAAAGTACACAAGCATTAACAGCTTAATGTACTTAAAGTGTTTACACTGTAAAGCAAGAAAAGTGGCCCTCTAAGGAGGATTATATGGAAATATTGATACTGTTGGACTATTATTACTGGCATTACTTTTAAGCAGTTGAAGGGGTCTTAATACAAATGTTTTCTTCCACTACAGCAAATTATTATTTATTAATTATTGCCTGTCCAAACTGCTGACATACGATAAGAACAATTTACAGTTAATTATCAAAGTGTTTAATAATATAATTGATTTACTGTGGATCATCTAATCTAATTGATGCTGACGCTGCTAGCCTACTTGTTTTTTATGTGACTGACATCAAATCTCTACACTTCGGGGGATCATTAAGATTTGTTGTATACTTGGGCATACAATGATTTATAAACATACATAGAAAAATCTGAAGCATTATCGCACAGTGGCACTTACATAAGATAAGATATTAGTTCAACTAAGTCAATAAAACAAACTAGAATTGTATCATCAATACTTAAAATACTGCAGTTATTACTTCAACTAATGGTTTTTTAATTAGGTTTAATTCATAGGATTGAGTGATTCCACATTTTTTGGAGGATTAAGTTAAATTAACTTTCCTTATTTTATTAGGATATGTTTTACGGTGCAGACAGACACAGTTCTCAGTACACTCAGGGGTTTTGGCCGCTACAGCCTCACTTATGTTGTCTGTTATGACTGGTAGCTTATGGTGGCTAATGATAGCTAGTTAGTGAATGAGCTTACTGACATTATGACTCTAAACAATGTGCTACAGTTACATAATGTTGTTTCATGTCACAAATAATCATTGTCATAATCATCAGTGGTTTTATGGCAGAAATAAAAGAGCTAAACTCAGAGTGACATTTGCGTATGTTGTTGCCACTTGTGGTCACTGTTCAGCACAGGTTATTTAGTCTTAAGCTGGTCATATCAACAGTACTTTATGATGATCCTGTTTACATAACTATTAATTTTT